TCAAACAAGTTATTATGGGGCTGGCAGGGGGACCAACAGTATGAGTTTATTCACACTGGTTTTGTAAGTTGCTACAAAGTATTTATCCTCTCGTATGGGAAATAAGCAATTTTCAGCTGGGAGGTGAGCTCTCCGGCCTTGCTGCAGAAGGCAGGAAGGCACACTCGTACATTTTTCCTGTGTTTATTTTCACAACGCAGGACGTTTTGTCAGGTAAGGTCAATTGAGAGAGACTCAGAAACACAAATACAGTTGAGTTGGATCAAAGGACTTGGTTAAATATAGAGAAATGGTGGCTTCAACCATCAAATTGTTTTGCTTCCAGCTGAGTCAAATCTAAGTCTCAGTTTTCTTCTGGAAGCTCAATACTTCAACAAGGAGATAAGAACAAAACAGGATTTCAACCCGCACCCCAAGTGCCCGACTTCCCGTGAAGGGCTGGCTTCTGTGGAGTTCCACACTGCCTCAACACATCCTGTGCGCTCATCTGAGGGGGGAAAAGGGAGGAACGCACGTGTGTGACTTACAACGTGAGTATGACGCCCGAGGTTGTTAAAACTTTATTATGAATCATCACCTGGGAGACGAGCACAAAATTAGGAATCCTCGTCACCGAATATAATGTCATTTCTGACTCTGGTGTCCCATAACCACAACAAAGTTGTTTTTCATTTCTTTGTAAGCTCCTCCTGTGCTGTGTAGAGCACTGATGAAACAAGGAAACCCAAAAAGGAAACACAGGTTGGTAAGCAATAAAATAATTAGTCACATAGCTTAAAAGCTCTCATGCCTATTTCTAATCATTTGCAATAATGTAAAAGAAATTGTTTAGATGTTTGATTCATAAAATCTACTGTTATGGCTTTCAATGTTCTGGCTGTTTTAACATGAGAATTAAGAGGGAAGGTGCTCGAGCCCTTTGCTGCAACATAGCAGACTTGTGTGTTGTTTGAAAAGTTGTGTCCTCACTAGAAGGAGCTACAAGGCACGCTCGGGCAACAGTGAGAGCAGGCAGGGAGGACAGTGGAGCTCCAGGAAGTGGATCCAAGAGTGAAAAAACAAAACAGTCCCACTTTATCTAACAGTACCCATCTGAGGCAACGCCCATCTGCCTGGGAAGACCCAGGCCAAATACCAAACTGCCAAACTGATGAATTCCCCACCCCACCCCACACATAATATTTCCACAATGTAAACTTCTTTCCCCAGATCTATTTTCCCCCTGAAACAAAAAACCCAAAAGAGGGTCCCACCTGCTTCACTATGTTACCCCCTAACTCTGATCACAACACTGAGCATGTAGTAGATGCTACCTCACTTAAAAATCTATCCACCAGAGACATCCCTAGGACAAGTCTCAGTGGTCGGTCTTCAGTACTATCCCCACAGTCAAAATGTTCCCTCGGGAGAAAAAGACTTAGCAAATATGCTTTCTTTGGAAATGGAAGACTTTAGCCTTTGTTAAAGGGATTTTAAGTCTCACTAAAGACAGGCAGAGGAAGTTTCTCATTCCCCAGAAACTGTGTCCCACTGGTGATGACAGACCTCACCACCATTTGACAGATGAACATAAGGAGGCCTAGACAAACATTTTCTGGAGGACCTTCCCTCCCATAGCCTTCACGCTAGATATAAGTAACTTCCCCAGCAAGCCTCTGTTCCAGCTCAGTCAGGTCCAACTGGAGACCAGCTGTAGAGTGAAGGGCCTTAGCATCACTGATTGTCCCAAGAAACAAAGGATGGAAACAGAGAGATGTCATGGCTCATTGTCCTGCCCTCGGTCTATGGGTTTATATTTGCATAATTGGGCCCAAACAAATGTATGAGATGACAGGCAACCCGATACCCACGCGTGGACCCCTCGAGTGCCGGGTTGGGGGGAAAGCTTTGGGCGTGTTCATAGCAAGCTTGAGTCTCAGCTCCAGGAGGCCACACCGTGAGACCACAGGACATGGACCTGCACCTGCGCCCCCTTTGGTGGCCCAGCACAGGAAGTGAAGTGCACCCAGGTGGGGGTCCCCACAGCTCAAAACCCGCCCCGCAGCCTGGGCCTGGCTGCCAGCACTGCAGGGCCAGCACGGCACTCCCACTCTTTCCTAAAAACCAGGGGCTGACGGGATCACAGAGCTGGAGGCCACGTCCTTCTTTGGGGAGCAAATCTTTTATTTCGTAACTGGTAGACTGTATGTGCAAAGCCCCAGCTAAGCAACTCATTGTTATGCATAACTACCTACCCTTATTTCTTTTTTCCAGTGATATGCTCAATTGGCTGTTCCCTGGATACAGGTTTCTGGATTAATTCTTTTGGTCTTTTCACTCAAAAAAGCAGTAAGTTATCTCCAGAACACTGATTTTATCAACCTTGAGAGTAGCACTGTCTTTATATATCACAATGACCAGAATGTTTACATTTCCACTGCTTTGGAATTAAGTCTGGGATAATTACCTACATATGAGACTGACCAATGACTCACATTTTTATAGAAAGGATTTTAAGTCCATGTGTATAACATTACCCGGATATAATTCTCTAGGAAGAGAATTCCTATGTATTTATTTATTTATTTAGCAAACAATTTTAGAGGCAGGGTGTTAAACTGATTGAAATTTCACAAGATTGACATTATTGCTTAAAGTGCTTGAATTGGTTACATTTTTTAAAATTAAGGTACAGATTATTTTAAATAAAAACTAAATTTTTTTAGCAACAAAGTCACATGAGTGCCACACACATACAGTAACTATTTTGACTACACAGAAATGGAAGCCCAAAATAAATTAATGTAATACTGAAAAACAGAAATTTAATTAGGCGGAAAAGTAGGAATAATTTTCCCTGACCCATGCCATTTCCATGAGTGAATCACGATAGTGCTGGAAAACGCCTTGACCATATGACAGCAAAGGAGGGCAGAACATTTAGTGCACAATATTTTAATACATGTGAATATACAAAGTTGATCAAAATGCAATGTTTAAAGATAAAGTCCATCTGTAATAAAGTTACACTCCAATATCTAAAATAAGTCCTCAGCTCCAGTTAGAACACGGTTCATTGTTAGGCATGCCCATGAAATGAAGGGTGTCCGTGGAAATATACGCACAGGGACTGTTTCTATCATTTTTCCCCATTTCATCTGAAATCCAAAATATACCAGGCTATAAAACCACACACAGCCGGCTTCCCATTCACACCAACCCCCTCGTGCCGTGCCCTGGCTCCCTCCAAACCAGGCCCCTTCGTACAGCCTCGGAATGGAACACACATCCCTCACCAGGACCGACCGGTGTTAGCATTTACCAAAACTCACCTTCAAACAAAGGGCGTGTTAGCACACTGTGCCACACTCTAGAGGCTAAACCACTAATACCCCATAAAGCAAATATTGGCTGGGCCAAAAAGTTTGTTTATTTTTTTTCCCGTCAGATGGCTCCAGTAGCACTTAAATGTCTTTAACTTCATTTGAAACAATTTTGTTAGATTGTATTGTGGCAGCTGTCGTCTCACTGCGCATTTTTAAGAAAAGCTTATCAAAATTGGTGAATTTCTGGTAGTCATTTTAATATTGAAGATGAAAGAAAATAAGCAACATTTTCAGCATAGTATGGTTCATTATTTCAAGAAAGGCAAAAACACAACTAAAATGCAAAAAAAGATTTGTGCAGTGTACAGGGAAGGTGCTGTGACTGATCGTGTCAAAGTGGCTTGTGAAGTTTCATGCTGGAGATTTCTCGCTGGACAGTGCTCCACGGTCGGTAGACCAGTTGAAGTTGATAGTGATCGAATCAAGACATTAATTGAGAACAATCAATATTATACAATGCAGAAGACAGCCGACATACTCAAAATATCCAAATCAATAAAGCTTCTGGTGAAAATGAAAAAATGTGTCACTTATTTTACGGAAAAAAACAAACGAACTTTTTGGCCAACCCAATATTTCTTCTCTTTTTTAAACTGTAAAACACTATAACTTATTTTAAAACACCCAGCAGTTAAGAAAAAAAAACACCACCACCACCACAGTGGACCTCACTCCTGCCGGCACCTGACACACAGGAACGCTGGCCGTCTGCGGGAACAGCGCTGTGCACTGTGCCATGGCGACCTCAGAATGGTCTCGAGTGTCCCACATGGGTCTCGGCTTTGCGAGTAAAGGACGCAAAATTAAAAAGTGTTTGCATGCTACTGTCTCCATATAAAGTGAAACCACGGGGGGGAAATGTAGCTGCCTAGTGTTCGTTTCGTTAATTGAAGAGGAAGAGGGAAGAAATGACCAGATAGCTCTCAAGTTTAAAAAGCTGATGGAGTGTCGGAGGCTAAGTGGGCTTTGGTCGTTTTCCGATCTTCATTTCCTGTGTCACCTGACTGAATCTACGACTCTGCATTCAGGTGTCACTGACACAGGCTACCAAATGAAACTTTTTTTTCTAATAAATTAGCTTCGAGAGTTATTTCAAAGATAATTTTAATAGTTTTTCTTATGAATCAATTCCAAATATATTAGATATCAACCATCACTTTTTTAAACTTTGCAACCTGCAGTCAAATATATGGGTTATATATATATATGGTACAGACAGTTCCCTATCTCGATCACCTTCCCTTGGACACTGTCTCTCCTTAAAGACAGAATAAAAACTCACCTTCCCGGTAAGGGGTTACTGCACATGTGTCATGGAGGAAAAAACGAGACAAAGTATTTATAAATATGAATTGGCCTCTAAACAAGGCAAGGTATATTTCTGTCACTCGTATAAAATAACGTGAAGATCACCCTGTTTTGTCTTCTCCAGTGACAAGTAAGACATTCCACTTCCAGCGTGAACAAATGAAGTGTTGGCATGCTTACTTAAGTTCTGAGCAATAAACAGTTCAAGGTATTTCAGAGATAAGAAATCCAGTTTTCATCTAGATAAAGTGCTACGCTCTTAATTGTTGCAAAATGGCCATTAACATTTTCAACTTCCATTTTAGTTCACATTATGCCAAACGTTCGCATGTTCGTTCACTGATTTATTAGGTAACAAAATAATGTGTTCACAGTATATCATAGTGTGTGGAAGTCAACGGACTTCCCAGAGAAAGGTGTACGACTCATAGTATTTGTAGGAAACCAAAAACCAGCTCGACAGCAAAACACCATGTTGACCCTTTTAACAAAAGGTACCAATACTCAAATGATCTAATAAATACATATATAACAAAAGTGGAAAAAGTAAAAGTAACTATGGTGAGATGAGGTTCTTCCAAAAATCTCCGTCTGGTCAAGCATTCTGGGAGCCTGAGCCAAAGAAACGCTGCCATGCTGTTCCGTCCTCCCCTCCCCCCACCCACGGACACTTCCTCGGAGCCGCCCTCGCGCCCAGCTCACCCCAGCCTTCCCCCGGGGACTGGCCGGTGCCTCGGCACACAGACCGAGATGTTTGCGAGTGAACAGCTGTACAAGGAGGCTGACTGCAGTGAAGGTGCTGTGCGGGCGTCCTTCCGGAAGAAGCACGGTGTCGTGTCGGCACTGACCAGCTACGGAGGGCTGTGCCGGAGGCCGTCCCCGCGGTGTCCCCGCCCTGCGACCACAGGCTGCATAATGCCAGCAGGTCTGGGAGGATACCCTGGAAAGCTTAGCCGTGCCATAGAGGCTTGATACAACTCACAGGACCTTAGAGAAGCAAGTATCACTAAAAACAAACAGCAAAGAGTTATTTTCCTGAAACGTGGTTTTGGTAAAAAGGTAAGAAAAGGAACTGTTTACTCCCCAACAAAAGCTTCCTCCTCTTGGCTTTGCCTGCCCTGAGCTCCCAACCTGCTTTGCCCACTCTCCCCCCACCCCTGCCCCCCAGGGAATGGCTGGGTGAGCGCAGCCCCGGGCACATGCTAGACACTGCGTGCCACCTGGGGGGCGAGTTCAGTATTGAGGTTACTCATTTTTAAACAATTTCACTCCACAAACTTAAAGCTATAGTTGCAGCCCTAGAGGAGAACATCTACCCAATTGTTCCGGCCTTCTGTCGGATGAGAGGCAGGGAAGCTACCCACGGGCAGCCGTGTTTCCAGGGGCCAGTGAAAGGAATGCATCGAAAGGAGGCCCTGGAAACCACGTAGGAAGGTCAGCAAAGACCCCAAACAGACTGCAGACATTCTGGGAAATAAACGTCATTCTCATTCAGCCAGTGGCATAGCATTGACCCAATCTTAACATTAGCGACTGTTATTTGTATAAATCTGACTACAACCTGATTGCGGTTAACTCTACCTCGGACTAAAACGAAACCACGAGTAGTGCTGCGTGTAAAAAACGAAGGGAGAGAGAGTCTAACACAGCCAGACCACGGAGACTTGGAGTGACACCACTGGTGGCTGCCGGGGAGGGAGGAAGTCCGCAGAGAGACCAGGTGACCGTGCTGCGAACGCTTCCCCCAGGCGCGCTAGTCTCGCAGTCCTGCAGTTATTCTCTGGACTGATAGAATAAAATATAGCCAGATTCTGAGTTTTTTGATATATCTGATGTCAGGCCATAGAATTCTTCAATAGCTTGGGCATCTATTTTCTGCAATAAAAAAGAAATAAAACAATATATCTGGTCAACGTGATTACTGGCAGGAGGACAGAAAAACTAATGGAATGCACAAGAAAAATGCAAGAAACGTTGTTGGCTATGCAATTACAATGGGGAACGTTCCACAGCGAAGGGGAGATTCCACAGGCTCGGCAGAGAGACGGGATTATAGACATTGTAACTCTCTGGGAAAGAGGGCTGCCCCTCAGCCGATCAGCAGCCACGTGTGGGCGCTCTTTGAAGAAGCCAGGACTTCTGTCTTTCCAACGGAAAACTGGAGAGTTTGGGGAATGACCCCGACTCTTTCCTTCCCTTTCGTTTTACCCTAGCGGGCCAAACCAGACCACATCTTTCAGTGTTGCCTTCTCTCCAGCCAGTATTCCTTTACAACAAAATCAACACATGGCATACTTTGATGTTACATAAAGATTTCCAGGTTCAACAGACTGAAAAATCATTTTTTAAATAATAACCAATACAAGAAAAATATGGTATAATGAGAGAATTTTAATAGAACCTTAAAGTTTATTATTTGGTCTGCACCAGAGAGGGCTTTAATCACACTAGGAAACAGAACTTACAAATAAATATGATTTAATGTGGCATAAAGATCCCACGTGTGTGGCTGATCAGTTAACAAAAGCCCAGTATCAAGCCCACAATCACACCTATTCTCCCTGCACAGAGAATGGGAAGCAGTAGAATTTGAGTTCTGAGAGACATGTAAGTTATTTTAAAATCAGACTATGGGAGAACAGGCCTATTTTAGAAAACGTCCACACCCACGCATTCCCCAGAATACCGCCCCGTCCCTCCCCCTGCTGCAGAAGGCCCCGCACACCCACCTCTACAATGTCGTCATCGAACAAAAGCCAGAAGCCGTGACTCTTCACAATAGTAATATAATGCCCACGATTAGGACCGCTGGAAAAGAACAAAAAAAAGGGAAGTAACCAAGATCACTAAGATCTTCTTCGTCATAAAACTCCAGGTCGTTCCCTACAAGCAGTGACCCACTAGAAGAAGCTCCCGCCGAGACAGAGCACGTGGCAGAGGCGAGTACATGACCACGCTCCTCGGGCCCGTTCACGGAGCAGAGCCAGGCGCCCGCGCTGTCCTGGGCACGAGGGAGTGCGGAGATGAGAGAAACGTCAGTCTCCTGAGGGCTCGCAAGCCAGTGGGAAAACAGACATTCAAATTCAACTAAAATGAACAAATAATCACTGTATACCTACTATGTGCCAGATCCTATTCTGGCTGTCGGGGGAAAAAAAGCAGTGAATAAAACCAAGCCCCACTTTGGGGGGCAGGTATGAAATAGGCAGAAAACAAACTGAAATGAAAACGTGCTTCCAGTGGTGGTAAGAGCCATGGAGAGAACAGACGAACTACGTAGTGAGTGTGGAGGGAAGGTGTTACTTGGTCTACAGTGACGAAAGCAGGCCTCTCTGACAACATGGGATCGGAGAAGGAAGGTTCCCTGAAGGAAATGACTGTGGGGGTGTGGGGGGCCGATAAGCCACGAGACTCTATTAGATGGAGGTTTCAGGACCAGAGGGCAGCAAGTGCGAAGGTCTTGCTGTGTTCACAGAACAGCAGGGAGGCCGGAGCGAGTTGGCCGGAGGAGGGTGGCGGGGAGGAGGCCAGAGAGGGGCTGGGGGACTGTGGTTAAGATTTTGGACTTGCTGTGAGCGAGCCAGGAAGACCCAGGGAAATTCTGAGGAGTGACATGATCTAAGTTTCAGAAAGGTGTTAATAATCCACAATGTATAGTAACAAGCACTGAAAAAGGTACGCACGACACAATAAGGGAAGAAGTAGAAAAGAACTAAACAGCTGTTGCTATGTAGTTAGGTTTGCAGAAATGAGAGGATGTTAATCCTAAATTTGGAGTTTTGTGTTGTTTTTGTTTTTCTCAAGGCACCATTGAAGCCGAAAGGCTGGATTTGCCTTTGTTTGCTTTCCTTAAAAACGGGATGACCCACCCGATGGGCTCCTGCCTTTCTCCAACTGCGTCCAGCCACTCCTCCCCAGTCCTCTGAGCTCCAGCCCGCTGGTCCCATTTCCACACACACGACCACTCACAAGCTGGGCGTTGGCACTGGGTGTAACTGCCTGAAACCATCCTCTTCCAAGGCCTCAGCTAAAATGTCACCTCGGTGGATAAATCTGTGCCAATCACCTCCCCTTCAGGGGAGGTAGCTCCCCTTGCTCTCTTATCACCCTGTTCATTCCTCAGAGCCCGAACCAAAGTCATGACTGTGTGGTTTGTTTTGGGTCGAGGCAGGCTGCGGGGTTCACTTGTTAATTGGCTTTCCCACCAGCTCCTCGGCTTCACGAGGGCAGGGCCTCCTGTCCCGCTCACTGCTGTACCTTCAGGGCCTGCCTCCGAACCCAGCAAACAGGGTTTCAAAAAATACTCGCAGCAGAAATCAGTGCGCCCACTGCAAACATGGGCCAGGAGATACTGGAATGAAGGAATGGAAGCTTAGCTCCCCAACTTCAGAGCTTTCCAGCGCCCTCAGCCAGCCTGGCTCCGGGACCAGAAAAACCGTGCCTCGGGAGGGGAAGAATTTCAAGAATCCCAGCAAGCAGCATGCATGACTCGGCACCTTCTGTCCTTGCTGCCGGGGCTGCTCCGACCTTGTGTCTCTGTTACAGACACTGACTGTTCCAGAGCCCAACATCCACTCGCCCCACGATCTGCGGGGTCTCTGCCTTGCCCTCACCAGCGCTCCCAGGGGTTAGAGCCGGCACACACAGAGACCCATACTGAAAACCTGCCCACACCCTCCACATCTGAGCGCTTCCGTTTCCCCACCACCTGTCTACACCGCCTGCCTCTGTCACAGTGCCCTCCAGGAACCAGGCTCTGCCTCCCCAAAACCTCCCCCTCCTCCCAACCGCTGGTCCCACCGGTGGTCCTGGCTGGCTTCCAGATCACTGGACCCCTGAGTTCTTTCAAAGAATAACTGCTAGAACTATTCTCCAAGGGGAACACAAAGCTGGCTTATGACTGGCTGACAAATGTGACTTACTGAGAACATGAAATACCCCTCGAGGTGAAGCTAACATGCGCAGGACAGAACGGGACGCTTCTGCTGGGAAGCCACTGTTCCCGATGCTGCCCGCCCCGGGGCGGGGTTACGAGAACATCTGTCCACTCTCCATGGGAGACTGTGCACCCTCTTGGTGACAGCCCCTCCACCACAGCCAATCCCGGCAGGTGGGGAGAAGACACCGGCCCTGTGGCAGGTCCGCATCTAAAACCCGAGAGGGTGGGGCAAAGCTGTGCCTCCCGGAGGAGAACAAACCCAACCCCAGCTGAGCAGCAGAAGAACAAAGGGGGATTCTCCGCAGACTTCCTCACGCTTAGACATTTCCGAATCATGGGACAAGAAGTGTCTGATCAAAGGACTCCGAGATACCCTGCTCTCCCAGGTCCAGGGGCCCACCCTCTCTCTCTCTGTTCTCGTCCTGTGATCCTCTGGAGTGCTGGGGGCAGGCTGAGAAGTGCGCAAAGAATTTCTTAAAGGTCTATTTCCAATCATCCAAAATGCCAAGAAATTAACTCTGATCCACTACATCCAGTCTTTATTTGTACATCTTACGATACTTGTGAAATCACATAATAGTAACCTGGCTTTTTAAGAATTACAATCATATAGCATAAACATTTATGCATCCATGTTGTTTCAAACTCCTCCCAAGCATCATTTATAACCAATGGAGATTTAGCATTTCCCTTATGATAGAACATTTAGATAACTGATTATAATGCCACCTGTTTCATTTCATTTTCTGTGTGTGTGTGTGTGTATGTATGTTTACACATATTCTGAGATAGTACATAAACAAGAACTTGGGAGAGATTCCCCAAAGTCCCCTTATTACTGAGTCTCAGCCCAGGAAGGGGCCAGTGGAGCCTGTTCAGCACAGGGACGACCCTAAGGCTTCCTCGCACGTGTGGCCCGCCCGCCCTTACCTGCCACAGTGAACCACCACAGCGACCAGGTCGTACATGCGGTCCAGGTTCACCGCGTCGCTGGAGGTGTTGAAGAGCCGGAGTTCCAGCGGGAAGACCACCCGGTAGGAGAGCTTGGTGTACCTGTGCAGCTGCTCCATGTACTTGAACCGCTTTAGGTGCAGGGCCAAAATCATGGGCAGCTTTTTGACTCTCATCCTAAGAAGCCAGGAAATAGAAAATCAATTGTGCCCACCCCGTTAGGGGAACAGAACCCACTGCCGCCTGCACAGACAGAGAACGGGAGGGTCGAACCAACTGCAAACCACCAAAGCACTCACAAGACTAAAAGCAGGCTCGCTTATTTAGAACTGACTTATCCTACATCCTCTGTGAACTTGAGCACAGTCGGGGACAGAAAAATTGCAACAGGTGTCTGTCTGGTTAAAGGAGACATTCCAGAACCTCTGCATCAATAAAAATAGGACTCGCAACTGCTGTTACTGCCCTTGGCCCCCCAGGGGGGAGCAGTGTCTGGACAATCCCCCCCAGACCCCTTCCTGAGACCAAGGAGAGGACGGAGAGAGCTCCTGGGAACAGGAAGTTGAGGCGAGGACAAGCAGAAGGGTGCGTCCGGCCTGCCAGGTTCCGAGAACCAGCGGGGAGGTTCAGACACTGCAAACCACCGGCATCAGCAAAGCGAACGTGCCAGGCTCACTCTCACTCCCTTTGTGCCCGAGCAAGTCATTTCCCTTCTCCGGCTCTCACTTCTCTCACTCATAAAAGGCGGGGGTTGGCTCGGGGCTCCGTTTCCCAAACTGGGCTCATTGCGGCCCCAGGGATGCTAGCCCTGGGCCCACTACGGACTCGGGGTGGGTTTCTGTGTCCAGGCTGGACAACGCCACTCTCTGCGTGGAGGCTCCTCCTTGCAGGAAAGGGACTGTTTTTCCTCTTGTTTGATGCAGCATTTCTCAAACTTACATAAACACGGCAACCTTCTGTCACTAAGGTGACCATTAATATTCCCTAGTAAAAAGTCACAAAGATGACAAGTTTATATAGTTTACTAGAAGAGGGAATCTTCCAGTTGTCTTCCAGGACCCCCAGTCTATGAGTGCCTTGACCTATTGGAAATTCTTCTCCACTTGTGTACATTTCAATGCATATTATTTGAAAAGAACAAATTTTAAGAGAATATTATTTAGGAATCTATTAAGGTAAGACCTTGTTCATAACAATAACCATGATAACATCAGCAGAAACATATGAATTATGGGGAACCCCATATTTTGTAGGAACATATGACATTTTAATGACCTTCAGGGCTGAACGGAAAACACCTTCGTGCCACAGAAGGAGGCCTGGGCTGGCCTCAGGCTGACTCAGATTCCACAGACGGGAGCAGAGGCGAGCTCCCCTGACTGCTAATGACAGCCAACTACCTCCCGCCTCCAGTCCACTCCACCTGCCACCATGACCAAACTGTTTTAAGTTTAGACGCAGCAAGACGTGCGTGTTGGAGGAGGCTGGGCAGAGAGGTTATTTTGCCCGCCGCTATGGGCCCCTGAGGGTTCAGATGGCAGTAATGAGCATCTGTGAGTTACCGTGAACATTCCACAACCACGGGCAGGGCAAATTTAACTCACAGTAAGGCTTCATGGGATAATGAAAGTGTCAAGATTTTTGGCTTCTAGGGGGACATAACAGGGAATCACTGGTTATCTCAGCTTGTCCAAGAGCTCTGACTGGCTGCTGGGTGCTGGGAAGAACATGGGCAACCTTGGGTCCCACATCCGTTCAGAATGTGGTGACTTTCTGATCACCTGCCCATGTAACTGATGCATTGTTATTGCTTTCCTCGAGATTCCTTAGTAATTAACTAATTGTTTAACCTCTTCTATCTGCTAAATAAGGAAGTCCCAACATTTAGGCAATACTAACAAGGTGACTGGGTGACAACTGTGTGTTATTACTATGCTAAGTCCTTTTTATACTTTCCCTTGAGCCCCAAGGTGACAGTGATTACAACACTTGATCACCACTTGCTTACCCAGCACACTGTCGGGCACACAGTAGCACCCAATAAATAGCTGTTGAACGCACACGAATGAACCCAGGAGCAAACATTCCGACAGGTGGACAACGTTCCGAGGCGGGCTGGCATTCGCGTCCCTGTTTTTACAGTGTGGACGGCGGCTGACTTCCCCCAGAGACCTGGCCGTGAGCCTGTGCAGCCTGGATGTAGAACCCCACCCGCCAGGCTGCACGGGCAGGCTCCTCCTCGCACACCAAGCCACCCTCAAGCTCAATCCTTCACGCACCTTTTCTGGGCCTCCTGTTTGCTGCAGCAGGTTTCACAGTAATACTTCTGCTCACTACACAGCGTTTCTGTGTTGCTGAAGTCTCTGCAGAGAAAAATGTTTACGACTTAAAAAGGAGTCCACGTTGTGCTCAGGACACTGCGTCTGGAACCCTCTCTGACCTGCGGGGTCATTTTTGAGTGAGTGGGGGAAAGAAGGGATGAGAAAAGCTCCTCCTTACAAGTCGGCACTCTGCCACCCTGAGAGCGTGTCTGCGGGACCGGACCATAATTTTCCCAGGGTTTTCAAGTACAGCCTTACTTAACGGGACACAGACAGAGGTTTCCAAAAGATTCAGGAAAAACTTGGGGTTTAACAGAGAAAACCTGTCAGCTGGAGACATAAATTATAACAGAAAAATACTAACTATCATAAAGACCCACTGTGAAGTTGGGTCCAAAAAAGTCAATCCCGTAAAATGCCAGGTGGCATTATTATATGATTAGTAAAAGAAGTGTGTGTCGGGTGGTCTGTATTTTCCAAGAGCACAGCACTGGAGACAATGGATGTCAGCCACATACAACAGCCTTCATCTTGAACTAAGAAAGTCCCACCCGGTCAAGAGAGGACTGCTCCCCTCCAACCCCCGGCTCCCCTACGCCCCCCGCCCCCCACACCCACCCCCGGATGTGAACTCCAGCTGCCTCCTTTTAAGAACAAATGTCACTGTGATATTATATCTGTATTTGCCTTATCGTCTACTTATAGTTTTCATTTTTAAATGTCACGGCGTTTCATTCCTGTCTGGTCATTGAGATTCTATTGAACTTGCCTGTGGTACAACTTCAAAGGCTGAAGAGAACATCCAGAATATAACGACGCCCCAGAGTCCTGAAAAGGTCTGTGCCATTTCCTCACGCACAGGGAATGTCCCAGCACCAGAATGATCACTTTTTACTAAATCAGAGAACGCCATTACGTACACAGAACTTACCAAAAGAAAACATGGACTGTTTGTTCATTAAACCCCGAAATACCTGCCAACAGTACTGGGGACCGGGTGCTGGAGGCTGGTGGAGAGCACAGTACCCGCACCCACAGAGCTCGGTGTGCCAGAGACACGGGCAAGGGGGCCATGCACAGCACTGCAGTGCTCAGGGCCGGGTAAACGCATGTCACTGCACACAACTGATCCCCCTGCTGAAAACCCTCCAACAGCTCCACGCACTTGTGAATAAAATCCAAACTCCGTGCCACAGTGGACAGGCCAGCCCCCTGCAGGCCCCGGGCTGCCCTTCCGACCTCACCCCCCTCCTGCCCCGCTTCACCCTGCCCCAGCCTCACAGGCCACACAGGCCAGTCCTCCCTGCATCTCACCATCAACAAGCTCCCTGCCTCTGGGCACTTGCAGATGCTGTCTTCTGTGCGCTGGTAACTCCTTCCCAGAAGTTTCCGTGCTGGCTCCACTCATTCAGAGCTCAGCATAACTGTCACCTCTCGAGAGAAGCCTTCCCTGAACGCTCTCTCCAAACCCGCCCAGGCCCTCTCCCGTCGCTGCATGTTCTTTGAGCGCTCACTGACCGCTACCTGAAACCAGCCTCCTATTCACTGACTACTTGCCTCCCCTCTCAGTCTGCCAGAGCCCCGGCACTGAGGACAGGCCCAACGCAGGGCAGCACTCAATAACATGTGCTGGCTGAATGAATGAATGAAGACAGAGGCATGTGTATTGAGTGTGGCAGGGGGGAAACCCAGGGGAATAAGAACTTGAACTGGGGTACTTCAGGACGTTTCCCAAGGGGTGATACCTGAGTCAGGTTCTCAGAGAGGGACAGGGTGCCAGGTGGACAGGTGGCAAGGACAGCAGACGGAGGAAACACCACAGCAGAGGGATGGACGCAAGGTGTGGGGTGCACATTTCTCAGAAGCTGGTGTGGACCCTGCGGCCCGGGACTCCCACTAAACAGCCTCGGTAAGGAAAAGACATAATCAGACAGCGCTTTTTGAAAACACCACTTCTGGCAGCACCATGGGAGTGGGGGGAGAATTAGAAGGGGTCAAAAGGTAAGGAAACATCTTAGAAAGCAATTATACTCAGTCCCTGGAATTCAAGTGCTTGGTGCATCCTACAGTCTCAAATTTAGCTGAATGAACGCGGGATGACTCTTCAGGGAAGTCGCTGGTGTGAAAGCACTCCTTGGCCTGCGGAGAATCGCTGGGAGGAATGAGGCGGGGGCTGGGAAGGGGGAGAGGTGAGCACGGGTGATGGTGGGGAGTCACACCCTTGGGAGTCTACAGCACAGACAAACCTCTTCGCTCAGCGAAAGAACCACAATAACCAAGGCCAGCAGAACAGCAAGTAGGAATTCACACTTTCTACTTACTCTAATTTCTCAAAGACAGTTTTCTGAAGCATTTATAGACCCAGATAGGTAGAAATACAGCAGAAGGTAGTACCTGATTTAAGGACCAAACTTAGAAATCACCACTACCCTGCCGAGCCCCAGCTGCCTCAAAGCTTGATGCCCCGAGAGACAGGGTGATGCTTTCAGGGTCTGAGAGTCAAGAAGCAGAAAACAAGACTAAGGCAGGAAAGGGGGGGGTGACCCTGCAGGAAACCCCGAGGCTGACCAGCCTGTCAGCTGACACTGCATGACTGTTGAAACCACAGCAGACAACAAAGGTTGAGGAAACTCTTCAATAAAAAGTTAAAGGGGAAGGAGAGTCAAGATGTCTTTCCAACGCTCAAGATAAATGACTAAAGCAGAGAAGAGGTTAGAGAAACAGCACAAAATTCTTGTATTTCTTTCAAGAAGAGTCACAGTGGGAATAAAGCACTTTTAAAAAATACATTTTGGGAACAAATCTAATATAAAATGCACCCCTTTATAAAGAAAGAAAACTATAAAACCTTATGGGAATGTATACAAAAAGTCTTGGAAAAAAAACAGAGAAAAGATTATGTTCGTGGATGGGAAGGTTATATATCATAAAGAGAGCTCTCAAGTCCAAGTTAATGTCTGTATTTGGTACATTTTTAAATTAAAATCTTAACTTTTCCACTCAATACAACAGTTTAAAAATGGATTTTACAGCCCTGGCTGGTGTAGCTCAGTGGATTGAGCACAGGCTGCGAACCAAAGAGTCGCAGGTTCTATTCCCAGTCAGGGCACATGCCTAAGTTGCATGCCAGGTCCCTAGTGGGGGCCACATGAGAGGCAACCCACACATGATATTTCTCTTCCTCTTTCTCCTTCCTTCCCCTCTTTCTAAAAATTAATTAATTAACAAAAACGGATTTTACAGATTTCTCAAGCAACGCTTCCTGATCACTTCCACGCCGTGACCCACAGAGAAGACGACGCTGCACGGCACGGAGCTACGGTGCACGGACATGGCCGCTCCCAGGCTCTCTGCCCAGCCTCCAAGGGGCCGAGGGGCTCCACACGCCTGCGGCCCGTCTGCCACAGCAGCACGCCAGCGGGCAAGCTTCCTTCTGGAATCTACAGTGGTGGCTCTCTGGCTGTTTGTTAGAATCAGCTGGGGAACTTCAAAACCAATCTCAATCTCCACCTCCCACCCCCACCCCCATCAAGTACATCAGAATCTCTTCAGGTAGCACTCAGACACTCATTCCTGTTCTTGAAGCTTTTTCCAAGGCAGTTCCAACAGCTGTCAGGGCCGGGAGCCACCATTCCCACTGCTCTGCAAATATTCACTCGCATCTGAATCTCCTTGTCAAAATGCCGATTCTGACTCATTCCTCCATCCCTTCCTGGGGGAGACTGAGATGCTACAGTTCTAATGAGACGCCAGGTGATGTCAAAGGTGCTGGTCCCAGAGCCCCTGTGGGAGAGGCAAAGGTCTAGAGCGGTGGTCCCTAAACTCCGGCCCTATCAGAGTCACCCAGGAGATGGACAGAGGCCCAGGATCACTGCAGCTGAATAGGGTCTGGGCCTTGGTTCTTACCAACATCCCCCGGTGATTCCAACACACATCACAGTCTGAAAGCCACAGACTAGCACGTCAGAAAAGACTTAAAGAGAAAGCCACGGGGAACACGTATGTGTCAGATATCAGAAAACACGACGTAACAGCAACCAAAATGGAAACACAAGTCAGAAAAAGAGAACAGAAAAACTAATAGATAAGAAACACAGGTTGGAAAAAGAGAACAGAAAAACTAATGGAAATGTGGTGGGAAATATCTATACACACACACACACACACACACTCTCTCTCTTTGAACAAAAGTAGTTCCTTGAAATAAGTAGAAAACAAATTTTAAAAAATAAGATTAACTTTTAAAATAGAGTTTGAGGAGAATTACAAGGCTACTCCCCTCCTGACACTGGCGCTGGGAGGATGAGAATTTAAACGAGAGGGAGATGGAGAAGAAGCCGGTGGTCTCAGAACGGAGTTCCGGGAGGACAAGGGTGAGCTTCTGCGAAGGAGCCGCAGCGGACGGACTCAGGCATGAAAGTGAAGACCAAATATACCGAAAAGGCCACATAAGAATAACTGCACGTATTTTACCTTTTTGCCTGAGGCCATTCCTTAACTTTTCAAAAGAAAAAAGCTTACTCAGGACCCTCTTATGATAAAGAGGGCTCGCCCCGCTGAAGGACTGAAATGCCCGAGTTAGCTCAGCGACCACAGGGAGCCCGAATTCTGAACGTCCCTGCCTTTTCTCCCGTCATCTCCCTGGGACGGAAGTTCACTGACCACACACTGGAACCCATCACCGACAACCATTCTGGAAGGAGCGGGAAGAAATCTGACATTTAAATTCCGCAATTTTAGCTTGACTTTTCAACTTTTTTCATCAACTGAAAGATAAAAATATCACATCAGAAGAGATACACAGATGTGATGTTTCAGAAGAAACTTCAGAATCCTAATTTTAAAACAAACTTCCAAGAACACAAGCCACATCAGACCATGAAAAAGGTCACAAGAGGTCGCAATCACTCCTCATCTTCTGTCTCGGGCAGAGCAAGCAAAGGGACTGGCAGGTATCCTGTGGTTCCTGGGCCTCACCTGCTCATCCTCTCCGGGGAGAGGCGAGATGTTAGGTGTGTATGAGGGCAGGGACATGTAAGCCGGTCAAGGTCGAGTTTAAGGACGATATAAAATGAGGATGGGCAGGCGCTCCAGGAATACCAACCTGGACAGCCCAGGCAGATGAGACCCTCACGCTGTTCGAGAGGGACGCCGAGGCTGTTTCACATTCACCCACCCGCCCCAGCTTCACCATCTCCCAGGGCCTCCAGCCTGCCTTCCTCACGTATGCATGGCCCCCACACACAAGTCCCCAGTGAAAAAAGTGAAACCATAAATCTGGGTGACATTTCTCTATAACGAGGCTCCCAAAGGTTGGTATTTTGACTAACAATTAACCCTTACCTGGCTGGCCCCATAGCTCAGGCCACGGCCGTCTGCCCTGCAGAACAGCCCAGATAATGCTTCGAAGGGAGGGGAAGCAGTCAACCTCCCTAACCTACTACACGCTCCCTAACCACCCTTGCCAAAGAAGGCGTATGGACAAATACCCTTCCTCCTGGGCCCTCACCTGCGACTAAGGTTGGTGCAACCTCACCTGTTTCTATTCCCTGAGATCACAAAATCTTAGGGAAATCAAAAATGGCTTCTTCTCACAGGAAGATTAGAAACCCCCGCCGTAGAGGGAACCATTCAGAAGAAAAAGAGGCCGCCCTGGCTCATGAAACACTTTGTAAACAAAGAGACAACAAGCTTGTCCCGGACCCCTGAACTCAAGGCATTTGGAGACAAGGGGTGATGTGCCAAACCAACAGGAAGTGCTGAGGTAACCATCAGTCCATCACCGCAGTGTGGAAGCAGGGGATGTGGGGTGGGGAGTTGCGGGTGGTGGTGGGGGTCAGACTCCTGGGAAGTGGGAGCGCAATGCGCCCCCAGCTCACACGATACATTACACCTGGATGGACCGAGCTCCTCCACATTGGAGTTGGTCCCTTTGCCCTGAAAGATGACTTTCTTACAGTCAGCTGACACAGCAAGTCCCTTTAATCTACACCCGCTAAAATGTTCCAAGTCACCTACACTCCTGAAAGAACAGTGCTGCCACTCTACTCCCCTGATGAAAACCGACAGTGCCTCATTCCGGCACCGCAAAGTGTCTCCGGGCTGCAGTGCCCTGGGCCACGGGAGGCCCGCCTGCCCACCGGCCCTGCCCTGGCACACGCACCCTTCAGACCTGTCCAACCCCCTTCAAAGCACCGACACCATCCATGGATCCCACCGAATGCGGGTGCTACAAGAGGGGTCTGTGGTGCTCAGTCCTCTGTGCCTGGTGTCCAGAACAGGGCCCGGCTAACTATAAGCATGTGGAAAACAGGAGAAGAAGAAGGGAGTGAGGAGGGGAAAAGGACACCGTGTCTTTATATCAATTTCAAGCACAATTCATGTATGCTATACCTACAGTTATCCTGGGCATGAATTGTTCTCACACTCCAGGCTCCTGACCTACTCTGAACCCGAATGAGGAGAAAATTTTCCCACGAATTATCTCCTTCAATGCTGGAAGTCTGAGGAAAAAGCAATTTCCCCAGTGGTTCTCAGCTCAAAAGTGCCTGAGTAGATTACCTTAGAAAAGAAAGGAATAGCAGGCAGGCATCCACAGAATGGGTTAACCTAATTGTGTGACTGTGTGTGTGTGTGTGTGTGTGTGTGTAAGAGAGGGAAACCTCTTTATTACATCTGTATTCAAGATTAAAAACTTATTTTTGAACTTAATGACTAATGGCTTCCACTTGATCCTCTTTCTTCCTAGCAGGACTCTTCTCCAGACTGCGCATACTTATTTCTAATCTTTCTCAGAAAAGAAGGAGTAGAAAATAGGATTACACTGGCGGAACAGAAAGGAAGATTATTTCCTGAGAAATACAGGCTATTTTTCCCCCACTTATTTACTAGCCTGACCAAAAGCTCCAACCACGATCAAAATTCATGGGGTTACCTTAGACAGTGAGTAATAGAAGTATTCTGCTCCACATCAACGGAAAGATCAAGAAAATCTTCATCTTTGCTACTAACCTGAAGCAAAAAAAGAAAAAGAAGTATTAGGCACAAAATAAACAAGAGACCCAGTACCTTAAACACTCAGAGGTCACCGACAACCACGACTGTGGTGAAAGTTGTGTGTGGCTTTGTATGTCCACTGGCAATCTGACTTACTTTGAAAACAACCCAATCTACAGAAAATCCCAAATTTTCAATTTAATCATCTGTACCCCAGCCGTGATTCAGAACTTTTAGTAGTTAAAACTCAACCAGATTCCTACTCCTCTCTAGTCATTTCCCCCACCGTTCCGAAGTAGGAAGTATCAGTCAGATACCTGTACATACAGCTCCGACTGGCAGAATGATAAAAATGGAAATGGAAAATGGACAAGAGACTTAGGCGACCTACTACTCAGGTGCTCACCCTTCATTGACTTGCCCACACTTTCTGCCAGGCCCTGGGAATCACTCCCTTCCTCCTGTGCCTGGTCACTCAAACTGCGTGAGTGGTCAGGGAGCCTCAAGTGCCACGGGCTACAGAGTCACGCTAGCGACCCACGCAGCTGTCCTTTCATACAAGAGGTGGCCATCGTTTGCGGAGCCCTGTGCTGTTGGTGGTGACGAGTGCACCCGGGGCTGGCCTGGCGCCTGGACTCACATAGGCCCACCAGGCCATGGACCTCTCTCAGCCGAGCTAGTTCACTGGCCCAGGCCATTTCTCAGCCTTGCTCAGCTCACAGGACACCAATTCTGGGCTCCTGCTTACTGAAGCTCACCGGCTAAGTGCTTACACTCCAGCAGTTCGCCGGCAAGCCTGGTGGTTTACTGTCTTGGGAGTGGGAGGGGTGAACTGTTCCTGCAACAACTTTGAGGTGCTCAGGCAGTTGGCAACAAGATGAAAATAACGCCCTTCTTTGTGAAAATTACCCTGAGACCCAATACTCCACTGCTAGGAAATCATCTAAAGAAATATCCAGAGATACAAAGGCCATCTCTTACTAGAAGTGTACATAAGAATATGTACTGAGGCAGACGGTCCAGCCCCACACCCTCTCCCAGCCCCATATAAAGTGGATGACAAATGACCAGTTACTGAGCCTTTCCGTGCCTCAGTTTCCTCATCTGTAAAGTGAGGACAGGAAGAGTATTTCATAAGGTTGTTTTAAGAATGATATAAATAATACGTGTAAAGTGCTTCAAGAAGTAAGCACTCAACAAATCATGAAAGGGTAGAAAATTATAAAGGGCCTAAAATGGTCAAGAAGTTGGAAACAGTTTAGGGTATTATAGTAAATGAAAGAGTTAGCTATGTAGTCATATAAATTAATTCCAACTTTATATTAAAAAAGGCCTCTATACGGGGTGGGAAAAATAGGTTTACGACTATGACCATGCAAAACAGAGTTTATTCTTGTATTATTAATGTATTATTCTCCATACGGACAACTGTGAACCTACTTTTGCCAACCCCTGTATATTTACACACACACACACACACACACACACACACACCTACCCCTTATCTCTATCATCCCAGTTTCATTTTTTGTGGCACTTTTTACTGCTCTGGTATAATGCACAAAAGGTCCTAAATGTTCACCACTGCCTCTGCTGGCTCTTTTGCCACACGGCCGTCTGGATCCCACGAGCCCCTGATTCCGAGTTCAGCCATGCGACTTGCTTTGGCCACTGGAATGTCAGAAGGCATGTTATAAGCAGGGGCTTGAATAAGCACTTGTGAAAGCCCTCCCTTGCCCTTCTGTCATCACCATGACAAGGACTGACCCAGGCTAGCCCACTGCACCCAGGAAGAAGATGAGAGACCCACGGAGAAGAGCTGTTCTCACGGAGGTGCCCAGCCAAGCCCAGCCCAGAGCCGAGCCCCAGCTGGCCTGCAGAGCCAGAGGAAATACACGAGCGAGCCAGAGGAAATACAAACACACAAGTTCAGCCACATCCACAGTTGCATGAATCCAGTTACATGAACCATAATAAATCAGAGTGACATATGTCTGACTTTTGGGGTGGTTTGTAACAAAGCAACAGATCACCAGCAGGACCACAGCAGGCCCCCCGAATAATGTTTTGCTCAACACTGTTTCCTTATGACACTGATGAGATGCCCCAGGAATTTAACTCTTGCTTATATTGCTTAGCCTATTGGTAAAACTGGTTTCCTTATACATTGTGTCACTTAAAGTCACAGAGCCTATAAATGACGTCGAATGAGAACGTACTGTATTTAACATTATAAACATTTTATTTTTACTTGTTTACTATCTGTTTCCCCCATACTAAAATGAAAGTTCAAGAGACTGGCTTCAATAATGAATGAGATCCTGGCATTTCAACTCGCCTCCAGAAAACGTTAGACTCGGATAGTTTTAAACTACGCACAGCTACCTAAAGGTTTTGGAGAGCGAATCAAACGGGCAGATGGGGGCCCGCACTCGGAGGAGGAGCGCTGGACAGAACGCATTCCCGTTTTCACAGCCTGTAGGACGGGATGGGGGGGGGGGCGTGCAGCCTTTCTGGGCTGGGAGAGAGAAAACCGAACTGGGAAACCGTGTCCACTGGCAACACAGGGAAAAACCAAAGAGCACATCCTACCTCTGCCCGCCTGCCCACACGTCTGGCTGCACGCACTCGGGGAACGATCACAGCGACTCAGCGTGAGACAGGAGGCCTGACCTCATTCAAGCTGCTGCCCGAGAAACGGAGTTTGCAGCTGGAGTCCGACCAAGATAACTGCCTGCCAAGCCAGAGAAACTCACTCCTCGCTGGAGAAAAACAACAACTCAAGAGTCTCCGATGCAACCTTCTCGGTATCCTAGATACGGTGTAAACGTACAGTATGTGAAGAAGCAGGGAAATGGGGGGGGCGTGTCTACAGAAAAACTACTGAGGCCAACGCTGGGATGACCCAGACGTTAGAACTGGCAAACACGGATTTTAAAGAAGCTCTGACAACTATTTTCAGTCAAGTAAAATATATTTTCAATGAATCAAAAAAGAAATCTCAGCAGAGAAATAGGAACAGTATTTTAAAAGAAGAGAATCAAAAGGAAATTCCAAAACTGAAGAATTCATGCCCTGGACGGATCTCACAGCGAAGTGGGGATGGCAGAGCACAGAGCAGGCAGTCTCGAAGAGGCGTCAACAGAAATCACCCCATGAGAAGGACAAAGATAAAAAAGATTTAAATAAAAATTAACAGGTACTCAGAGACCTATTAGGTAATTTTATGTATGTAATTAGAGTCCCAGAAGGAGAGGGGAAAGAATAGGGCAGAAAATGGCTGAATATCTCCTAAATTTGGTGGAAGACAGATATTTACAGATTTCAAGACTCTCAACAAACACCAAGGAGGATAAACACAAAGAGGGCCAGCCGAGGTGCAGCAGGCTCAAACTGCTGAGAGCCAAAGGTAAGAGGTCAACCTTAAATACATCTAGAAAAAAGTAACACACTGCATAAGAAGGGTTCAGTTAGAAGCCGATCTCTCATCAGAAACCACGGAGGCCAGAAGACAGCTGAACTGCTTTTTTAATGTGCTAAAAGAAAAAACTACTGATGCAGAATTATCATACCCCATGACTATATCCTTCAAGAACAAAATCAAAATGAAGAGTTCATTATTAACAGAACTGCGCTACACGAAATGTTGAAGGAAGTTCTGAACGGCAAAGTGAAAAGATTACCAGACAGAAATCCAGATCTGCAGGAGAGACTGAAGGGCAGCAAGAATGGAAATTCTGACATCGTTCGGTGGGGTCTGTAATACACGTAAAAGTGGTACACGCGACAGCTATGGGGTGAAGGACAAGGCGGGGTGGGGACAGGAGGAATATGCACTCAGATGATCCAAGCTTTCTATGTTTTAGGTGAATAATAGTATTATCAACTCTAAGCGCACTGTAAAAAGTGAAGAATATATATTGTAACCTCTAGAACACAGGTGGCAAACACAAGGCCCACGGGCCGAATCCGGCCCTCCACACCTTGTTTCTACCCGGTGGCAGCACTGAGCTCTCACTTAATTGTTAAGGAATAGTTACACTTATACAGTCCTAAAATTACATTTGGCCTTTTGAAGGCAACCATGAGGCTGATGTGGCCCCCAGTGAAAATGAGTTTGACACCCCTGCTCTAGAGGAACCACTGAACAACAGCATAAATATTCAAATAACTTTTCTAAAGGGTAGAGAAGAAGAAACACAACAACAAAAACAGAGGGCGAGGGGAGTGGAGAAAGGTATAGGGGGTTAAATGATGATGGACAGAGATTTAATTTGGGGTGGTGAACACACAATACAGTGTATACAGGTGATATGCTATAGAACTGTGCACCTGAAACCTGTGTAATTTTGTTAACCAGTGTCACAGTAAATTCAATACAAAGAAAAAAAATAAAGGGAATAAATAGAAAACAAATAATAAAATGGAGCTTCAAACCCAATAATTATACAATAAACATGAGAACTAAAAGGCAGAAAATGCAGAATGAACTTTTTTAAAACAAAGCATGAACACCTATATGCTGTCCTATATAAGAGCTAAACTTTAAATATAAAGCCACAGATAGGTTGAAAGTAAATGGAGGGAAAAAGATACACTATGCCAACAGTTAACATAAGTTTTAGTGGGCTCTATTAATATCAGATAAAATAGGTTTTAGAAAAAACAATGAGAAATAAAGAAGGTACTTTTAATAATTGGATCAACTTACTAGAAAACCATAGTGAAAAATGTGGAAGCCCTTCATAATAGAGCCTCAAAAATGCACGAGGCTGGAACATTCTTCACCAATAAATACGAAATCAACCATATGCTATAATTCAAATGAACCTCAAAAACGTGACATAAGTAAAAGAAATGAGACACAAAAAACCACACATTGCATGATTCCATTTACACGAAATGTCCAGAAAAGGCAACTATCTGAAGACAGAAAGCAGCTGACCGGCAGCCTGGGGCTCGCGACAGGGATGAACTGCTGGACACGGGGGACCCTACTGGTGCGGTGGGGATGT